ACCACTCTCAAATTTCTTTCCTCTAGATGAAGTATGCCAAATTTTAAAGGTGCTCTTTCTCTTTGAGTTTGATGAACAAGGAAGGGAATTGCAGAAGGCCTTTGAAGACGCTTTACAGCTGATAGAAAGCTCACTTCCAGAAATTTGGACTCCATACCACCTGCAGAGTTCGGCTACACCTGTGAGTTTTCTTAAAGACTGAATATGCATTTTATTTTACAGGTTATTGTGGTCACACAATCTCTTAAAAGCCAAAGCAAAAAGCATTCCTGCTCTTAAAACATAATATGCCATAGCTAAATTACTTTAGGCTCATGTCAGTAAGAAGTTTTATGCTTGGGCAGTGATTAGTACGCTTCAGCCTAGGTTATATGTGTTTTTATTTCTCTTTTCCACATGAAGTCACTGTCATGGAGAAGATGAGAAACTCAAATGAATTCCCCCAGAATCTGCAGTGAGATTGAGGAGAGGAGGGAGAAGAGCTAGGGTTAGGGTGGCCGGTCGCCTCTCCATTCAGAACTTGTTCACAGCAGGGACCTAGGCAACTGCTTTTCCTTCTTTTTTATGGGTAATTTGACTTTATTATGTTGTTATGATGAGCTTTGCCAATTACATTTAAGGCTGTTTGTGTGCCATCAAGAATTCTAATGTGTTATCATCTATTTGTTGTTTATGTTTCTGCTCATTCTCTCACACTGCAGATCTGTTGTTAAAACTTTTCACACTCAGGATTCAGAATGACTGGTGTTTCAGCCAGGGTCCAATAAGGAAAACAAAAAACCACAGCTTTCATTTTATCTAGAGAATTTAATATAGGAACTGGTTAAACAAGCATTGAAGGACTGAAGAGGCAGGAGGGAGACACAGAGTAGTAACAATGAGCTTGGAGCTTCAGGGACACCTGGTCTACCGCAGGCTGAGGGGACAAAAGGAAGTGTTTGGAATTACCAATGTAGGAGTTCATAGGTGGGACCTTCCAGAGTTGATTCTTGACTCTCTGAGGACGGGGTCCCAGTTACGGGTGCTAATATTTGAAGATTTGATAAACTGATTCAGAGTGTACAGAAAGAAACAGAAATTGGAATGAGTAGCTGCTGCTGGGGTAAAGAGATGCTAAGCGAAAGCAAGTGAACAAGAAGCAAATTCTTTCACCCCCTAACCTTGCATGGTGTCCACTGCTGGCAGAGTGTCATGGAGCCAGCTGCCAAGGGTGGACTGTTTCTCACGTGCCCAGCCTCCATCACCAGCAGTGTGTAGAAGGGTGGGTTTGGAGCTAAGCGCACAGTTGATAGTTAGATCTCTGGTTGGAAACTCATAAACTTATTGGACCATGATTTTCTCTGTCACAAATAGGACTAATCCTACTCTAACTTCACTAGAATGTGTCAAGGATCAGATAAGGCAGTAGGTGTTAAAGTGGCTTGCAAGCAACTTCAGAATCAATGTCCCAAAATACTTGAATTTATCTTAATAGATATTTCCTAGAAGAAAATGGTCATCATATAAAGTGTAGTGGTTTGGAAGCTAACCATTTCATACTGCCTCCCTCTGCCCTCCCCCACCCTCTTCTACTTAGATTATACCAATATTAGCTTCCAAGACACCACCTTGAGTTTTCTAGGGAAAAATTATGTTGTTAAAGCGTGGTAATGGCCAGTGTGCATGATGCCCTGAGAGACATGGGGAAGTTATTTTGAGCACCTGTCATTGCTTCTGAATGACCGAGGGACTGCATGTAGAGCCTCAGGCCTGGCCTGTGCCCACAGAGGATGTGCAGGTGTTGAATGGTGGTGAAGTCTTGTTTTGCGTGAAACACTTGCAGTTTGCATCCTACTCCATGTTTATAGTTGGTTTGATATCAAAATACCCACCAGACTATGAGTACAGTTTGGGACTGTACTCAGATACAGTGTACCTGTATCCCTGTGAAACTATAACCCCTTCTATCAGAGTACGCTTTGTTCATTTGGAAAGAACTAGGCATGTATCACCAAGATTATCTCTTTCTCCCTACCCTCCATCATTAGTTTGTTCTGATAGAAAGGAAATTTAGAGATTTGAGTTGACTAGAGAAACTGGCAAATTAAAATCACGTAGAATAGAATTACTGTGTTTGATATCATACCAATAAAAATGTCAGGATATTTACTGCTGGTTGAGTTTTGGCCTTTACTACTTAGCAGTCTTCAGAAGTATAAAATAATCTTTGCTGATGCATTCTTCTTTCTACTCAGGTTCTAGGCCCCACTTCTACTGCAAATAGTATCACGGCCTCATATCAACACCAGAAGACTTTGGTTCCTGTTCTTGGTTAGTATTTTTTCCCTATAACTTATTACAGTACTAAGCAAGAGGTCATATCTTTCTCCAAAGTGTTGGCAAGGTTATTAGTATAAGAAGAGACTGGATATTAATTATATTTTTCCCTCAATTCTAAAACTACATTTTAGAAAAATCAGTTTAATGCTTCTAGTATTGGGCCCTGCAAGGTGGGGAGTCCCAACATGACATTAAACATTTAATTAAAGCAAATTTGTCTTGATGTCATTTGTCATTACAGTGACATATACTCATACAGGCACTGCACAGTTAAAATTCGAGTCTAAACAATCAAACGATCCAAATATTCATTTTAAAGATCAGCTGAATCATCACTTTGGCTGTTGACAGTTATGCATTGCATCACGGGGTCATTTTCAGAGTCCTTGCTTAAGAATTGGACTTTATGAATCATCTTTAGGATTGACAGTATAATTTGAAAGCAGCCCAAAGAACATGAGCATTTTATGTGCACTTGCTATTTAATTATATTAAATGTTTAATTTTTTCTTGCTGGGAGATGACTCTTAACTAGATTACATATTCCCAAAACCCTGAAGCTATTCTGTTTTAAAGTTAGCTAGAAACGTGTAAGATCAGTTTGGTGCCTGCATATTTTTGCCCTCCAAATGGATCAATAAACATAATGACCTGTCTTGGCTTTGTTAGTGATATTTTGTAAACTCACAGCTTTTACTACTGCCTTTTGCATTTTCTAGTATGTGATAGTGAGCATTCTGAAATTTTCCCATTTAAATGATGTACTATAGTAGTGTTTTGATGACATTTGGAGTTGCTTTTGAAAGCTGAGATTAAGTTTAGTAGTTTACATTGCTACCAGAAGTAGACACCTAAATATTTTCCATTCTGGCTAAGCCATGTATCTGGATAAGCACTGCTGTACCCTGCTTCCACTTCTTCCTGTTTTGGGTACGAACCCCAAAGCATACATTTACTTTTGTGATGGTAAAAATTCATCGTAGAGCTTAGGCAGTGTTGTTACTGAATAGTTTGTCTATGTCCAATTCAGTTGTGAGAGCTGCCCTGCTTTCCTGAGCTGATGCTGACTGACCTTCAGATCGAGTCTAGTCAGAACTTTCCTGGGATTTCTAGGTGCTACTGCCAAAGAGTATAGTCCTGGAAGCCTTAAAAATCTAACATTTTGAGTTTCCTCATCTGAGTATTACCAGCATTCATGTGCTTAAGATTGCAGGAAAAGAGATTTTCTCATGATCAAATGGCAGATGAACTCCTCATAAAATCAGTTCCATCCAAATATCCTTAACTCCCCCAGCTCCAAGCAGTAGTCAGTACACTCCTACATTCCACCAGTGTGATCAGTGGATCTGGGTGCAGCATTTTCTCTGTTTCAGTTTTACGATATAATGTCGTAAAAGCTCAATACAAGTCTTGTAAAAATGTAGGATTTCATAAAATGGGTTTAAGTGTTATCAGAGAAGAGACTGAATCATAGCTGAGTTGAATTTTTACAATTGATAACAAAATCAGTGTACCCAGTAAGAGTGACTTGTCTATCGAAGGAGAGACATCCTTGGAAAAATTGACACAGAACTCAAAGTAGTTTTTTAATGACTTTATGCTGTGAAAATCAAACATGGAAATCCAAAAGAGGTCATGTCCTTTAGTGTTAGGGAAGTTATATTCTTTAAAAATATCAATACCTCGCATTTATTAGTTAAGTCTAGGAATCACAGTAACAGTTATGCCTAATTTTAAAAATAAGATAGAATATTTTTATAACTTGTTATTCTTTTAAAAGGGAAACCTTACTCAAAGTCTACTCACTATTTAGCAATAGGCTTTATTGACAAGGAATTTAATCCAGCCTTTTCAATATCAGTATTAAGTCACTACACCTGTAGTCTTTTAGTCTATTTAGCTTTTTTACTGATACAATTAGTAGAGAAAATATGGATTATGCAGAGAAGTATGTCAAATAAAATTTAAATTTGTTAATTTCTAGTCCTTTGTATATAGGTTATATGTATAAATCAAGTTAAGAATTACCTTGCACACTTTTCTCACTAAAGACTCTTAAAAATAAATTTTAAAGTATATATGGTTCATTGTTGGTGTTGAAAATTGTCATAAATAATACTGAGAATGGGTTTTGTGATAAATACATTTTCTTATGTCTTCTGTTTCCTCTGTCTGATTCCTCCTCAGAGGCATCAGAGATCTAGCTGAAAGACGGTTTAGAAGTTTTCGGTAAAAGAACTTTAGTTCTTTAGTAATAGAAATCTTCTGTTTTTAGTAACAGAAATCTCCCTGCCTCCCCAGATCCTCTTCATTTACTTTTTTTCTTTAAGTAGAGATGTTTCTGTTGATAAATTTGTAGAATGTTTTGATCATAAAATACTTTCCACTAACTATATACTGAATATGCAACTACATTTCTCTCTTTAAATTGAGGTAAGTTTTACATGAAGTGAAATGCATGTCTTGGCATACAGTTTGATGAGATTTAATAAATGGATACAGTCTTTCATTTGAAATATAGAACATTCTTTTACTTTGGGTGTTTTTTCTTTGATCCTCCAATGAGCCTCAAGTTGAAATGTAATTCCCCTTCTGGGGCAGGGCCTCAGCCTGTGTTGCTTTGAGGAGGTTGCAAGAGAAACAGAAACATTAACTCTGGTCTGATGGTTGCCTGGAGCAGCGAACCCTCATCGTAGATTGAGCTCAGAGCCCTATCTCTTCCAACAACAGGAGTGTGCTTTGTCACAGTTTCCCTCTTTTTCTCCTAGATACTGAGTTCTTTCTACCGCCAAAGATCAACAAAAGAACCCAGTGGAAACTGAGCCTTCTAGAGTGATTGTGACTGACGTTCAGAGGCTCCATCGGGGAAGACTGGCTTCCTTCCACTTGGCAGTCCTCGAGGCTTGGCTGTTGAGAACTGGGAGGTTTAAGCTAATGAACTACTTTAGCATTTTGGAGAGCTGCTCTCTGCACCAGACTTTAGCAGACATTGAATAGTTCTGTTTTATTTTGCATAAAATCTGTCATCAGCAAACACGTTTTAACCAGTACAGCATCATGTTGTATGACTAACTGTTCATTTAGTAAGGGCCGTTTGAGAGTATTTATGGTCACTAGGAGGTTGGTTTCATTCCCTGCTATAGGTCTGATTCATATTTGGACCTGGGTAAGTCACATTGATTTGTGTGTTAGTTAATTGAGAATAATGTTTCCGAATTTCTACCTCAGAAGTGTGAAACAGTAAGATAATGTTTCCAAATTGTGTTAAGTTCCTGAAGGAGAGCATATATATAAACAATATGGTTATCAATGCTACCAGTATTTGGTCACATTTACTCACTTACATGACTTCTTCACCTTGAAGTAAAGCTGAGTAAAAAGCTAAAAAAAAAAATCTTTTGACTCTCTATGCTTTCCTATGCTGATAGCTGATATTTTATAATTGCTTCCAGTTGTAACTGGATTGAGTCCCCCATTGCTCCAGTGTTTTACTACCTATAAATTTTCTGCTAGAGAGTTAGCAGTGTTGGATCTGGAAGAGATTACAGTTACTGGATCAGTATCATACCCATTTGGCGTGGTGAGCTTTGTGCATCATACAGAATGCAGTTATTTTTTTCCCTTCAAATATGGCTTTTTTAAACTAAAATGTTTCTGTCCGAGTCTAGACCATTTCATTTACTTTTCTTAATGGTGCTCAACTGAGCTTCCCCCCCCCCCCAAGTTATTTTCTTTGGAAGAAATGAGAATGTTTTCTCTTTTTTGTTGAGTCTAGAAAAACCTCAGTTCATTCTGACAGCAGCTTCTTGGCTATTTCTTGGGCAAGGTTAAACATTTCTTTCATGCTTTTAATACCAGAACCAGACTCTACTATATGTGAGCCAGGAGGAAATGCTGCTGTGATCTGAGAATGTTGATGGACCCGGAATTATAATTTAACACAACTTTCCCCATAAGAGCAAGCATTAAGTGGAGGCTCTGGGTGTTTTCCCCACATAATTCAACTTCCCTGTGTGTCTGAAAATTATTACAAAATATTAGAAAAGGATCTATCCTGCTTTGGAGACATCTATTTTTTGACTCATAGCCATAATGGATTTGCTACTGTTGCATCCACCGGCAAAGGCTGACAGTGCTTTGTGATTCCTTTTGGGCAAGGCTAAATGAGCCTGGTGACTTGTGTGACATTCTTATAGAGTGTCTTACAGTGATTATAGTATAGGGGCCCGTGCCGATGGTTTCGGAATGGAAGTAAATGTGTCTGTTGATAATCGTATAACTTTTTGGGAATTTTCAGTTCCCAATAAAATCATGTATTGAGGCAGCAAGAAAGAATTGACATGAATACAACTACTGTGTCTCTTATCTGAGCAAGATGGAATTGTGTTTATTTATAGAAGCAGATGAAAGCAGACCTTCCAAGTGGAAGACAGTGGGGGTGCGGGAAAGGTTGTGGGGGAAACTGCAGTGCTTGGGAACAAAAAAAACCTGGGTGTGATGAATGCTTGATTTGGGGGAAAGTTTCTGTCGGGTTCTAGAAAACAGTATGTATAATTCTTCCTTCAGATTTGAGTTCTGTCCCAAAGCAAGTTCATGCTGCAGTGAACTAAGGGCCTCAGTTGTTTTGTTGTTTCCGTTGAGGCAGATTTGCTTATATGCTCCAGACTTTGAGAGAACTTACAGAGAACTGTCCCCTATAATCAATTTAAATTGTCTCCTACAAGCATTTTAAATTTAGACTTTTTAAGAATGGAGATAAGAGCTAATGTTTTTATTATATTTATGAGTATAGCTTGGTATAACTTGTCAGCACTGCTATATATTTTATAATAAAATTTTCTCCATATGTAGACATTTTTTCCATTATATATATATGTAACTATATACATGACTGTCCACTAAATATATGTGTATATGTATATTTAGGGAGTTTTATACCCATAATTAAAGAGGTCATTTTTGAAAATAAAAATATAATTCTTAATAATTTAAATTGACTGCAAGTTTAGAAGGCAAAATTAGATTTTTTTCCTTCTCCTGTGCTGGCCCATAAACCTTCATGCTTCACTTAAAGCGTCACATGGACAGGACCTTGGAAGTCTTCGGTTGTCCTTCCTTACCTGCCATATTTACTAATGACTGAGGTGAGGTTGAACATCTAGAAGCTATTTAACCATAAGTACCTAAATGCTGTACTGGAGCCTGCTTGGAGTCCTGTTTGCTGTGCTCCTTAAGCCCTTGCCTGTGCTGCTGCTGGGTAGCCCCTCCCCCCCCTTGTTTTAATAGCTCTGAAGTCTCAGAAATTTTAAGATGACAAACGCTCTTCTGGTATATAACAAAGAACAGGACCATCAGTTCACCTAACTCAGTGTCCTTGGACAAAGTCACAATCTCACTGAGTCTTGCTTTCAGCCCTCTGTACTCGTGGCCTGAGTTGGGGTTTTCAGCCTTGGCACGTTTGTCATTTTGGACCTTATCCTTCTTTGTTGTAGGGTGTCCTGTGCAGTGTTGGATGTTTAAGAACACGCCTGTCCTCTACCGACTAGATTCTAATACTGCAAACCTACTCTTGTAGTAACAACCAAAAAACATCTTTAGATGCTGCCAAATATCCCTAAGGGGAGTGTGTGTGTTGGGGGGAGGGGGGGGAATGTGTCACTACGCAAGGATGAATTCTTACATGAATAAAGCTATTCATCTTTTTGGTGAGGATTCTCCTTTCCTACAAAGGTGATGGATTGTTTAAGGATCAAGTGAGAGAATTCATAAGAGTTTTGGAAAAAAAAATACACAGTTGTTTATCCTTATTTTGGCATTTTTCTTTGAAAATAGAGTGCAACATTTGTGCCTAAGATGACCCAGTAAGTCCCATCTTCCAGAAACACCTCCTGTAACTCTTCATGAAGAGGCTTACCTCTTGGGGAGTTCTTGACTTGGATTCCTAGATCTTCAAGGAACCCAAAGATAGTATATTACTTAATTATGACTGGTGTGCTCTGTAATCTTGTGTATTTTATGCAATGTTCTGAGTCCTTAGGCTTTACCAACCTGACAGAGAGGTCTGGAGGATAAAGAACCAACTAGACTTCAGTTGCCCAGTAGTGAGTGTTCACAGAGTGTTGGCAGTAACTGAGAAGTATGATGTATCAATTCCTAACTGATCCCCCAGTACTGCAGGTTAAGGCTTAATCATCCTTGCAGAACTATAGGGTCTCCAGATGCCCAGTGACTATATTTGCTTTCCTACTCCAGCTTGCTGGTGCCAGCCAGCTGTGTTTAAACAGCTCACCAGGCTTAGATCCAGGGTCAGGCATTTAGGCCTTTTAAGGCTGGGCAATCAAACTTCAAGTCATGGGGTGACTCTGTAGGGCTTCTCCCTGGGGATGGGAGATGGCATCTCCTTTGAGTGCTTGAATGTGTGTCTTTGGATGTACATGTGCCTGAGTGATGTTTTGGGGCTCTAAGGGGTATACATCTACAAGGTAACATTAGATAGCTCTTATGATTTCTGCCTGTAGGCCAGATATTGGTGTTTAGGTGTTTGCCTCTGCTTTTTAGATCAGCTGTGTGAGGTAGACTCAGGTCACACAGCTAGGTTAGGTGGAAGCAAAATAAGATTTCAAACCACAGAATCCCAAACCAGTGCTCAGTGCTGCCTGCCTGTGTTGTTCAGATGCTGAGCTTAAACAGGCACAAAGCGTTCTGGGGACTGTAGTTTAAAAAAAAGTCTATGCTCCATAACAAACTGTCCTCACAGAAATACTTTAGAACATGCTGGGCCTTGCAAGGGCTTCACATAGCCGTGAGAGTTTGTGTGTTCCTTCAGGCTCCTGGGTTGGGTCATAATGACCTGTGTCGGGAAGCCTCCCCCAAACTCATACCATCCCAGAGCTGGCATGCGCCATCCTGAACCCAGCCCAGACTCCAGCCGTGTACCTACAGGTGATGATTTCCATCCTGGTGGCTGAATAGCCGCTGCTCGGAGTTTCAAGAATCAGTGGCTCACAGGCCTTCTGACCTCAGTGCTGATAACCCAAGATTAACCTGACCCCACTTTTGAAACAGGGAAAGTGTGGATAGTGCTCGTTTTCTCAACAGTTGCTCTCTTAAGCCACATACATATGCCTCACTCACTTTCAGCACAGTCGTCATGATGGCTTGCTAAGAGCTGCTGTGGAGACAAGTGTGGGAACTAAAACTACAGTTAAAACAGGTCTAAGGGATCTTCATCAGCCCTTTCCAGGCCTCCAGGGCTGCTGAAGAATGAATTGGACCTTGCTGTTTATGGGACATTGAAGCACCAGTGTTTTCCAGTGTTATCTTACCCACCCAGCAGCATTTTCTCTACAATCTTAACACACGCTCACATTCAAAAGGATGTTAACAACATGGCAGTGTCTGAAGTGGGGAATATATAAAATAAGGCACAGAATCATGGTGGAGCTGGTGTCTCTCAAGAAGTTTAAGCTGTCACCTTGGAATACATGTCTTCTTTGTCCCTCATCCCCAGCTCCCCACCCATTTTAGCACGTGTGTGTTTTAAGCCAGATGCCATATGTAGGAGAGTGTTTGCATTACATCAGGAAAGAAGCATACTGTGGAAGGGTACATGACGATCGTTTAATACTGTAGCATGAACGTGCTGGCTCAGCTCCCTGTGTGGGAGACGGATGCTCACCCCGCAAGCTGATGCATAGCACCCTGGCAGCCATGTGTCACCAGAGTTCAGAAGCACCTCCTGTAGAGGAAGAAAGGCCCGTGTTCTTCGTACTCATAGCGGTGGACCCACAGAGGCTGGAAGCCCTGAAGCGATGCCAGGATGGAGCCCCCTGTCCAAACTGCAGTGTCTCTTTCGGGCAACACGTTTACATGGGGGATGTCATTAGGGCACATGTTGCTGAGCTCCTTCTGCAGACGGTTGGGGAAACCATTGAGCATCGTGCTCCCCCCGCAGAGCAGGATGTTCCCCATGAGGTCCCGTTTGAGAGCAATGTCGCACTTGTTAAGACAGGACACTGTCTGGGTGTGGAGGCCTAGCTGCATGGACTTGATCAGAGAGGGCTTGAAGAACATCTCTGAGCAGAGGAACCTTTCCTGGCACAGGTAGATCTCCTGCCCATCTGGCAGCTTATATTGGATCGTGTGCTCAATAGGTGGGACTTTCTTCTCTTCGATGGGGTCGAGGGCCACAAAACAGCATTTCTTCTTGATGTCTTCCACAGTGTTCATCTGGTCCTCTGTGAAGTGTTTCCCCGAATTGTTCATCAGATTCATCAAGTAGGCTGTCAGGTCAGAGCCCGCGTAGTCCAGCCGCCCGGTGATGCTGGGCAGAGGATACCCTTCGTAAATGGGCACCACGTAGGACACGCCGTGGCCCACCTCCACCACCAGGCCGGAGGTCCTGCCGTAGGAGTACATGGACAGGCGGGACTGGTAGGCAATGTGCATGGCTGGAGTGTTGAAGGTCTCGAAGAGCATCTCGGCGTACTTCTCTCTGTTGGTGTGCGGGCTCAGGGGTGGGTCTGAAACCAAGACAGCGTGTTCCTCTGGGGTGATCTTCATTTCCTTCTGGAAGAGATACTCCCAGATATCCTGCACTGAGTCCCAGTCCACGATGATGCCGTGTCGCAGAGGGTTCACGAGCTTGAGGCGAATGTCTGGATTGATGAGCTCCTGCCCCACGTACGTCTCCTTGCGGTTGTCCCCAGTTTTGGCCGTTTCCATGTAAGGTTTGCCCACTGTCGATGAGATCTTGTGCGTGGGTCTTGGGAGCCCTGCAAAGCCACATTTACAGTAGCCAGTGCCAAGGTCCACGACCACTGCCTTGGTCACTTCTAGCTTGGGCTTGTCCCTGGCCTCTGTTGACTTGCCCGCTTCGGGGGGCCCCGAGTTGCTGCGGCAGACCCGCACTGCCCGCTTGGCAGGCCCATCCTTTAAGGAGGCGGTCTGGAGGACCTGTGTCTGGGAGGAGGTCTGTTCGCTCACTCCCTTGGTAGGGCCATCCCCTATGACTGCTGCCTGTGGGGCCCACATGCTATCAAGTGCCATCCTGTTCTCAAAGAGTTCCTCAATCCCACTGGCCTCAAGGCCTGAAAGGCTTAAGTCAGAAGGCAGCTTGAGAATTTCTCTGATAATGACATCACTGATTATGACATCATCCACTAGCCCAGGGCTTTCAAGTTATTGGGCATCTTTGTTCCATGGTAGGGTAGATTTGGGGTCCAGTTTGGACCCCAAAAATTCAATTGATTTTTCCCTGAATGTTGCAATAAACCAGATTTACCCAATCAATCTTGAGAGTTTACTATGTACAAGGCAGCTGGCAATACCAGGCAACAGTTGCGACGGGGGTGGGGGGGAGATAACTCTTGTAGAGTTTACTGTCTACTCAGGGGGGCTTGGGGAGAGACAGAATAACCACATGCACATGCATTAGAAGATGCTAAGGGCAGAAGAGAAACCAAAGCAGGGAGTGGAGAGAGAGACTGGGCACCCTGGGACAGTGAGACGAGCGAGGAGCTGCAGGAGGCGAGGGAGCCCAATGTGTGCTAGGGAGCAGCAGGTACAGAGGATTGCAGGTGGCCGCATGTCGGGTGAGTTGGAGCAGAGGGCGACGGACTTCAGCCTGTGACCTGTTTTGGGGACACGGCCAGGCTCGCTCATTTGTCTGTGTCTGCTTTTGTGCTGCAACCCCAGCGTTGAGTCATTGCAACCTAAACTGGCCCACAAAGCTGAAAATAAATACTCTGGCCCGTTACGGAAAAATTAAATGTCACTGGGTTGGCAGTGAAATTCAACTCCTCAGCCTCCCGCTGGTGGGAACTTGTGGCTCTCAGGACTCTGGCCAGCAGTGACCAAGCCCTGCCAAGTGTGAACTCCTACTCCTAGGGGGCTGCTGGGGACCCAGCTCCCCGAAACACATGTTGGACTGCTCAGCCACCAAGTCGCTGCTGTCTCTGAACCTGCACATCTTGGCGCTGGCTCTTCCTCTGTTCCCAGAAGCCAACCTGATATTACACAGGTTGGGTTTATAAGAAGTTTTTCATAAGAGGCAGTCACTACATGATGGATTTTTCCTGAAAGGAGGTTCTAGGGATGGTCTTGGTTCCTTGTGGGATGTGAGAAAAGGATCAAGTCCAGCTTCATGAATCTTGTGATGACTGACAGGGCTGGGCAAGCTGTCTGGCTTTTGTCTCAACAAAATCTCAGCTCAGAGATGACATTGAATTTTGAAAGAAGAACAAAGTGCTTTCTCTGTGCCCAGTAGCCAGAAAAATAATTTCCTTTTCTCTGCTACTCAGAGGTTTGCATGGTCAACTTGGTTTGACTTTTATTTCAAAACAGCTTAAAACCAGAGGCATAATTTAATTTAGAATAATCTATTTTCTATCTCTCCAATCTTGTTGAATTCTGAGGAATCTGCAGCTGCTTAAGCACATTTTCACTGATCTGGATTTCTAGAACAACCTGACTTGGGTTTTTATTGCTCCTTTAACAAATTGCCACAAGTTTAATGAGTTTAAGTGCAAATCTAATATCTGACAATTCTGGAGGTCAGAAGTCTACAGTCAGTCTTAGTGAGCTAACATCAAGGTGTCAGTAGGCTTGTTCCTTCTGGGGATGTCAGGGAATCTTTCTTGTGCATTCCAGCTCCTAGAGGCTGCCTGTGTTCCTTGACTTGAGGCTCCTTTTTCCATCTCCAAAGACCTCTCAGACTTGTGCCATCCTGTCTCATCTCTGACCTTATCCCTGGTGTCCTCCTCTAAAGAAGACCCTTGTGATTATGTTGGGCCCACCCAGATAATCCTGGGTGATTTATCCATCTCAAACTCATTAATTCACATTTGTGAAGGACCTTTTGCTGGAAGAGGTAACATGTTCACAAGTTCCAGGGGTTGAGATATGACATCTTTGGGGGCCATAATTCACCCACCCCTTAGCCTTTTCTGTCCTCGTGGATGGAGAAGGTGTGGCGCTGGCTCAAGCACAGTAATTCCCACTGAACTGCATGGTCACGGGTGCAGGGACTCTGGTGTCCTTTATATCTTTTGAGTTAAAGCCAGTGGATACCTTATTTCACCTTACCTTTCAGGATTTTACTTGATGTCTTTCCTATTGAAACCTTCTTTCCTCCACCTCCAAGTCACATTTTGTGTCTCTACTCTGGGTCATCACACTGTGGTACAAATAATGGAAGAAAGTAGAGACTGTTGCTTCCTGCACCCAAAACCTTCACTGCCTGGCCCATGCAGCCCCCATACCAGCCACTTAAAGTACACATGGGCTCCCTGGGGTCACTGCTTAGTTCCATATGTTGCTCAAAATATCTTGGGCAGCTTCAAGAATTGTCTGCTCTTGAGCAAATCATTTGAATTCTGAGCCTTGATTTCCTCACTCTGTCTTACCTCCCACGTGTCTATGAAATAATACATGTGAACTGCCTGATACAGTGCCTGGCTTACTGGAAGCCTCAAATAATCTGTCATTCTCTTAGCCAAGAAGCAGAGGAAAAATTGTTCCATCAGTGAATAAGGGGTTGGGAGCGGGAATGTAAGGACAGGGAGCAGAGACCTCAGTGTATTTGGATTTCTGAAACTCCTGGCCACCTACTGTGGCCAGGCGCCTGGTTGAATTGGCCAATCAGTTAGCCAAGAGCTTGCCAAGGCGAAGCCCACCCCTCTGCTTCCTGAATGGACCAGCCCCAGTGACATCACAATCCAGAGGGGTTGCTAAGCACCACTGGAGTTGGGCCTCTTACTCTCCCCCATGGAGCTCTAGGATGTGGGTGTGAGACAGGAGAGCAAGGAAGGCTGATGGCAACAAGAAATAGCCCTAGTCCGATGCCTGTGGGCACGGCCCAGGGCGACCCTGGAGAGACAGGAACATTTCCAGGCTCTGATGCTGGCATCCGGGATGCAGGTTTGGCCACTCAGTTAAAGGTGAAGCCCAAGAAGGTGCGCAAGATCAAGGCACTCATCATTGACCTGGGCTCCCAATACTGTAAGTGTGGCTACGCAGGGGAGCCGAGGCCCACCTACTTCATCTCCTCCACTGTGGGCAAGCACTGCCCTGGGGCTGCTGACGCCGGCGACACTCGCAAGGAGACCTTTGTGGGCCATGAGCTGCTTAACATGGAGGCGCCTTTGAAGCTGATGAATCCACTGAAATATGGCATCGTGGTGGATTGGGACTGCGTCCAGAGCATCTGGGAGTACGTCTTCCACACGGCCATGAAGATCCTCCCCGAGGAGCACGCCGTGCTGGTCTCTGATCCCCCACTCAGCCCCAGCAGCAACCGGGAGAAGTATGCAGAGCTCATGTTTGAGACCTTTGGCATCCCTGCCATGCACGTGACATCCCAGTCTCTGCTGTCCATCTACTCCTACGGCAAGACCTCGGGGCTGGTGGTGGAGAGTGGGCACGGGGTGTCTCACGTGGTGCCCATCTCGGAGGGTGACGTGCTGCCCGGCCTGACCAGCCGCGCCGACTACGCCGGGAGTGACCTCACCAACTACCTGCTGCAGCTGCTCAACGAGGCCGGCCACAAGTTCACAGACGACCACCTGCACATCATCGAGCACATCAAGAAGAAGTGCTGCTACTCGGCCCTCGCGCCTGAGGAGGAGGTCTGCCTGAACTTGGAGGACCTGAGCGTGGAGTACAAGCTCCCGGATGGCAAGCTCATCGCCATCGGCCAAGAGCGCTTCCAGTGCGCAGAGATGCTCTTCAAGCCCAGCCTGGTGGGCAGCAGCGAGCCCGGCCTCCCTGCGCTCACAGCTGCCTGCCTGGACCGCTGCCAGGAGGCGGGCTTCCGGGAGGAGATGGCTGCCAACGTGCTGCTGTGTGGGGGCTGCACCATGCTCAATGGCTTCCCCAAGCGCTTCCAGAAAGAGCTGAGCCTCCTCTGTCCCCGGGATAACCCTGCAGTGGCTGCTGCCCCCGAGAGGAAGACCTCCGTGTGGACCGGTGGCTCCATCCTGGCTTCCCTGCAAGCTTTCCAGCAGCTCTGGGTCAGCAAGGAAGAATTTGAGGAGCGGGGCAGCGCAGCCATCTACAGCAAGTGCTGAGGGGTGCCCGGAGTGCAAAGCCTTGTGGGCAGGCGACCACAGGCCACTATACGCATTTACAGATTTTCCCATAAAGCTTTAATCTGCAATGGCTCTTGTCTAGTCTGGATTCTAACTGATAGCAGAAGGTGGTGGGGGCTTGGTGATGTATCAGCACCTTTTGGTCTGCTGGGTGAGAGTTGGGGGTAGCCAGTGGGTTGAGTTCATAGAACCCCTCCTCCACTGCCACCTTAGGACGTGACGTCATCGCAGAGCTCAGCGTGTGGCTTCCTGTTTCATCAGCTCTTCCGGCTCCGAGACTCGATAGGCACATTTCTTGCTCACCAGTCACCAAGGTGGAAACAAGGGCTCAGACTTAAGAGTTGAGTGGTGGGTGGAGACTCACATATGTCTGTTCTCTTAACAGTCTGCGGCGCCTTGTTGTTTGACTGCTTGACCATCCCAGGCTCCCTCACTCACCTTCCCTCACTGCTGCCCCCGTTTAAGGGGTAGCAGCTGTGTGTCTCCCGAGTGTGAGGGGCATGCCTACCCATCCGTGACCCTCTTAGACCCCAGCCAAATTGCAGCTATTTTTGATTTCTCAAACTGAGGCTTGAATCCACTGAATCCAGAGGCCATCAGGAACAAGAAGGCCCTTTGGAAATCACGCTCTCTTTCCTGTAGTGATGGGGAAACTGAGAACCTGAGAGAGGAGAGGGTCTCTCTTTGGTTCTCGTCAGCATCAGTGGTTGAATTCAGGAATTCTGACTGAGGCAAGCATGGTTCCTTAGTTTGGGCAGATGTAACAAAATTCCACAAACCAGGGGAATAACAGAAGGTCATTGTACCAGCATGCCCCAGTCTGGTGAAGACCCCTTTGAGGTCCAGACCACTGGCATCTTGCTGTGTCCCACATGGTGGAAGGGATGAGGGTTTGCTTTGGGACCTGTTTATAAAGGCATTAATCCCACTAAGGAGGGCTCTGCCCTTGTGGCCCAGTCACCTTCCAATGGACCCACCTACTACCATTCCTTTGGGCATTAGGTTTTCAACACACAAATTTGGGGGGGGGCTAAGGGGCACCTACTCTGGGCAGGCCTAGGGCTGGAGACTGAGAAAGGACCAGAACATGGTTCTCCCCTTGGATCACACTTGACTAGCAGAAGTTCAATGGAGATGAGGCATGTTCCTGGAGGTGGAAAGCAGTCCATGGAGAAGTGCTGGCCATGGTGGTCACTTGGTGACTTGGGAGCTGAGGGGGAAGCTCTCAGCTGTCATGAGGTTTCAGCTGGCGAATGATGAATACCTTGCTGCCTCTTCCTACCCCCACTTCATGACAAAGTAGTTGTGGCTTCAGACATTGATATGGGCTTCCCATTATCTCTGAGCCCTCTCTTGCTTTAGAGGAAGACTCCTGAGTTGGGACATGCTGTGAGGCTGCCTGTGTCGTGGGCCATGCATTGAGCCACAGATTTTGGAAAGAACCGGTTATGGTCTTTAGTACCTGACACCTTGCCACCTAGTCCTTTCCCGAGGCCCAGAATTGGGCTTCAAGACTGAGGTGAGTACCCATGGGGTTGGCAGGGTCTTGGGGCCATGCAGGAACTTGGGATCTTCCCTGTAAAGAGTAGCTGCAGAGGTCCTCCCTGGTGGCACAGTGAGTCAAAGCACTGCACTAAGAAGCTTAAGCCACTTCCACATGAGTTTGATCCCCGCCTGCCCCAGAGGAGATCCACATGGCGTTGCAGACCTCTCCTGACCCGCCCGCTGCTCCCCTCAGCAGTGTACTTCGTAGATCTGCCTGTTCTGCTCCCCACTCTGTCCCTGGTGAATCCTCTCACCCTCCGCATCTCTGGCCTGTACCGCAGTTCTGTATGAATAAATGAATAAATCTTAAAAAAAAAAAAAGCTGCAGATAAGAGGCCCGTAGGTGACCACGCCAGCAGATGCACTTGTGTGAATTGCTTTCTTGAAAGCAAATTCTTTCAGTGGGACACACGGTCTTCAGGGTGCCAAAGTTTCTAGCTCCCTGTGTCTTCACACATACCTGCTGCTTCAACACAACTTGCTTAATTAGCATCATTGCTATCACTGGTAACCCAAGAACCTTTGATTAATCCTAAAAGCCTGGCGAGATCCAGGGAGGGAAACAGAGCTTGTAGAAGGAAAGGGATGTGCCCACCTGGCAGAGCAGTAAGCTAGCTCTGCAGTGAACTCTCTTTCTTGTGCTGGTTTTGAAGATTTCTGAAAGCCAAGTCTGCCTACCCCAACCCTTCTCTTCCCCATTTTCCTCATCCTCAGCAACTCTGTCTCCAATATCACAGCTTCAGAGTCCTCATCACCTGGTCGTCATCTGTAAAAGTGTCCCTGTGTGGCAGAGGCTATACAAATACTAACACTTCATCTTTCACATGAACTTATTTGAGCCAACCACAAATATGCCTGATTTTATTTTTGTAGAAATATGGATAAATTATTTCCAGCTTAAAATGATATATTCACCGTGTGTGCTTATCTCCTCTCCCTCCTAAGATGTCACTCCAGTGATAGAAGACTATTTTGCTTGAGATTTCCAGAGATGGAAATAAGCAAGCTGGTGACATCGTGTGGTGAAGTCCTACTATTCAGCAAGGCAAGAAGTCTGTTATCCCCACCTTGGATTGTGTTGCAGTTACAAACCATTAGTGCACTTCCCCATGGCAGTCAAACTTCACAAAGAACCCGGATGAGAAAGGGTATTGAACAGGATTCTCAGTGTCTAGATGAGAAGAACATGGGCAAAGAGGGGCTGGATTTCTTTACTCTGCACATAGCTGTGTCTGATGCATTGGGGGGACATCGGGACAGATGGCCCCCCATGCACAGGATGGTAAAAGCTAGCATGGCTGACAGTCATGCTATACCTGACTTCAGTACAGAGAACTGAACTGGTCCCCACCTGGTGTAGGCTCTGCACTGGCCCCTGCGGATGATTGGGGCACGGAGTGAATAAGGCCTACTGTCAAGTTGATTATGGTTTTGTGGGAGTAATATTGTAAGAACTAGCAAATAATAAGGATAAACCAAAATGTCAATAAGCAAAGAGTAATTATTGAGCTTAACTCGGCCTCATGATGCTTTATCTGGCAGTGTTTGGCATTGAGGAAGACAGACAAAAATTCTGAAGTTATTGGGACATGAGTAGTAAGAATGCTCGGAGGATTTCCTAGAAGTAACTGCTGAGTTGGGTTTTGAAGGCTGAAAGAGCCATAGGGAATGTAGCTAAGTATGCTCTGCTGAGCTTAGGGACTGGTGTTAACCATTTTGGTCTCAGTGTCCTTATCTCTAAAATGGAAATCCTAGTAGCGTGTCCCTTGTGGGGTTGTGGTACGGGTAAAATGAGTTTATAGGACAATTTTGGCTTGTAGGACACTACCTGGTGCAGAGTGAACACTATAACTGGCTGGAGGAAAAGTTGAAGAGGAAGGGATTTTCCAGAGTTTCAAGTGACTGGATTTAAGTGCCAGGAGGAGCAGAGCGGCAAGGCAGAGCTGAGGAAAAGGGGAGGGCCTCACAGTCCCCATTGGACGCGTAGCAGGAGCTCAGACTGGGAAGAGGTGACAGGAGTAGGCTTTGGGGAACGTCACCAATTCCATCTGCCCCTGAGTTTGGGGACCCCACACTGGGTGGAGGGACGTGGCTGAAACCCAAGCACAGGCTTAGGAAAGATGTGTGGCCAGAGGTAGGGGCCCTGGACGCTTCAGAATGGACTGAAGCTAAGGGCAAGCGTGAAAGCACCAGAGGCAGAGTGAAGGTGAAGGAGCCACAGTCACACCTCATAGTGCTCTGCTTGCCTCTCGCAGATATTGGTGACAGTAAATGTGACAAACTCAGTGAGGTCCTTCTATACACCAAGGCAGCCATGAAAATCCCAGGGCGTAACAGACTGCCTTGATGTGAGTGTGGCCATGGTTGCCCCTGAGAGGCTCTGGGAGAATCTAGAGACCATAAGAGACAGCTGGAAAACTCAGTTCTTCTACCTTCTGATTTTTTTTTTAAATGTGCGACCCATTCAGATGCAATTTATTTTATTATTATTATTATTTTTAAAGATTTACTTATTTATGCTTACAGAACTGGGGTACAGGCCAGAGGTGTGGTGGGTGAGAGGCTTCACCAGAGACAGAGTGGGGAGCAGAACAGGCAGATTGAGGGGAGCAGCGAGCAGGTCAGGTTAGATCGAACTCCTGCTGCAGTGGGTTCCGAGAGCTTCATAATGTGGTGCTTTAACTCATTGTGCCACCAGGGAGAGCCCCAGATGCAATTTATTTATTTATTTATTTTAAAAAGATTTATTTATTTACTCATATAGAACTGGGGTACTGGCCAGAGATGTGGAGAGTGAGAGGATTCACCAGAGAGAGAGTGGGGAGCAGAACAGGCAGATCAATGAAGTACACTGCTGAGGGGAGCAGCAGGTGGGTCAGGAGAGGTCTGCCACGCCACGTGGTCACCTTAGGGGCAGGCGGGAATCGAACTCATACAGAAGTGGCTTTAGATTCACAGTGCTGTGCTTTAACCCGCTGCACCACCAGGGAGGGCCCCGAAATTTATTTTTAAGGAAAAAAAAAATGTAGAACTTCTTGCAGCATAGCCTAATGGTCTGTAAATGGTGTTCCCATTTTTGTGTAGCTCTCTCTAGTTGTCCTGGATGGGCTTTGTGGAGACCTAGGTTTTGCTCAACTTTCCACCCCTAGAAACAAGGATTTGTGTCTCATGCGTGGATGTGTCCATTGAGTCTGAACTTGACATATTGCTTCAACTGTTACACACATTTTCCATTTCTCTCGTCACCTACTGTCTATGTCAGTCTCTCCACATGCTTGGGTCAGAAGGACTCGTCATCTACACTTTGTTAAAATCCTCCTGACACCTGTGTAAGATGGGTCCGGGCTGCCAGCCCAGGGTTCTGGTCACAAGGAAGTGTACAGGGCTGAGTCCTTTTGGAGACCTTGGATTTTCAGACAGTAGAAGAGAAAGGGGATGAGAAGGAAGGGCCTATTTTTCCCCAAAGTGTTCTAAACTAAAAAAGGTCATGAAAACTAGGGAGTTGGAACAGGAAAGGGTGGGGGAG